GTTGAAAGACTTCATGGCCTTGTTTCCGGGGACGTTGACCTGCGGCTTGAAAGTGGGCACAGAGGACTTGAGGACGCTAGTAGTGGTGGTCTTGGTGATGATCTTGGTGGTGACGAGGCCGGTCTTTGTGAAGGCGCCCGATTTGGTAATAGCGGTGAGGGGCTTCACGCAGCTGCAGGCGGATGCGACGTTCCAGAGCGGGAAATTGACTGTGTCGAGGCACTGGGGGGCTGGGGCGGAGACTGCGCGTCTACCGAGATTGATGCCGTCGAACCGCGGTGGCGCAGTCGGCACTGGGATTACAGCGTCAGTGACGACCGCCGGAGCCTCAGTCACCAGAGGTATGGGGTCGTATTCGCCAACAGCCCGGCGGTTGCCACCTTTGAGAGCACAGACACTCTGGGTGACATAAGATGTAGTCGTCATGGTCGAGGTCGGAGTTGTTGTGGTGGTGGTGACGTAGACAGTCGCTGGGTCGGAGCGGCTCAGGTAATAGTTGCAGAAGCGGGCAGCGTCGTCAGTGGACTGCGAAAAGCAGCTGCGGGCGTCATCGCGGTACGCAGCATAGACTCCATCGTTGGACTCGTATGTGCAAGACGTCGGTGCCGGGGGTTGTGTTTTAAAGAGATAGCAAGCAACTTGGAAGTTGCTGTGCACGGGATCGTATGACTCCGTGGCGACATATGCCTTGCACGGGCCGTAGTTGTCGCAGACACCATTACAATGAGTCGAGACAGCGCCGTAACCCATAGAGCCGTATGTGTAGCCTGTCATGTAGGTCTGTGGCCGGCAGTATGGGTCGGGGCTGTTGGCAGTCCATGCTGGGTTGGCATAGTATGTGGCTGCCGCGCTGGCTGAACACAAGTCGGTCGGCATCCTGAGCGGGAGATAGAGTTCGGCAAAGGTAAAGAGTTGCTGTGTTGTCTCACTTGGGATCGAGCTGCGACGGTGAGAGGACGTAAGCTCTGCAGGGTCTGCTTCTGTGATGCTGACAGGTTCTGCTGTGGATGGGAATGGCTCTCTTATATCACCTCATTGAGGCTATTCGGGTCTGCGACGCTAATCCGATGAAAGACTGCCATTTCCAATCGGTCCAAACAGCCGACCAGATCGGGTACTGGCTAAGAAAATTGAGAACCTGTTCATAGTCTTAGTTCTAGTGGAAACCACACTGAACCTGTCCGGATATAGGATGTGGGATCGTTCTAGACTCTTCATGGGGATCGACTATATTGCACCGCCGCTCGAATACATACATAGCTTCAACCTTGGGAGTGTTTCACTACTATGGAGCTAGAAGTCTTTCCAGCATGGCTAGCGATTCTCGGTGCCTGGAAAGCTAGAGCAATGACTCACCATGGGGCGTTGTGCAGATCTAAGCTTTGCTGTCAAGGTTCGTCGCCCTACGCCACAGCGTGGCCACCGGTGCCCAGACACCCTTGGCGACGAGATGCACGTGGGAGCCAATTGCTTATTGCAGCGAGAGTTTGACAAGTGGTCGTTATCTGTCTCACAATCGACCGTTCTTCCAGAAATGTAAGCACTCTAATAGGCTTGGCGCCCTCCGCTTTCGCTCCGTCCTCGCTTCTCATGGGTCCACGATCCGAAGCCACTGCCACGACTATTGGGCTGCGAAGGCTGTGGGTGCACATGGGCACCACGTGGAGCAGCTGGCTGAGCTGTAGCAAAATCCGCGTTCACTAAGCGCCATTTCGTGTTGCGAGTCGGAAGCCACAATTCACCTCGCGATCAGAAGTCCCATACTAATTGCGGGGAGTCCTGATTCATGTGGTGGAGACCTGGGGGCCATTTCGAAGCACCTGATAGCTCGAGATGCTTGGCAATTGAGCAGCCGCCTATGTAAGTGAGTGCATGCCAGCGCGGTCATGCACCCCGAATTTGCATCTGCACGGGTGTCCTTGCTTAGGGGCCGCGTCAGCAAATCCGGGGACGTTTTGCAATCGAAGTGCTAGAAACGACAGCGAATGCTCAGGAGGTGTAGGCATACTATCGCCCGGTTAAGTGCTGCGACGACCATTAAAGCCATCCGCACCACCCTAGGAAGACTAGCCAAAAGGTTGTCGAGTTCCCAGTGGAGGATTCGCTATATGAGAGGACAAAGTCTCCCAAAACAACAATGGATTGAGAGTTCAGCTCATATTATAGCAAGGAGCAAACCGATGGAGGTGGAGGGACTGAATTGGCTGTTAGAGACGCCTGGGATAAGCTGGTGTACAAGTTGTGTTATATAGGAACGTTTCCCTGCGTAGCTTTCCTCATGTTCAAGTAGTTTGGCAGCAGTATTGACGGGGTATTTTCAACGGAGAACCAGATATACAGCTTCACCCGATCGATTTCCCGTGAAAGCAGGCTAGGAGCAGGTAAGTGCCCGGAACACAAGAGTCTTATAGAGGCCAGCCCAGAGGCCAATATAACGGGCCAGGTAATGTCACACGAGCCCGTCAACATCACCATGTTTGTTATCCAATCTCAGAAAGTCCGCAACTGATCCGTCGGCACTGGACAGGAAAACATGGTCGTTGAAACAGACAACAACTTCCACCATGTCCAGCCAGAGTCCGTTGTTACCAAAGACGTATTCAGGTACTCATTATTTTCCTATTAGGTTCAAACCGACAAGCACGTTACTAGGTCTGACTCGCTGTGGTCTAGAGAGCACGGCGGCGAAGTGGGTGTACGCGACCAATAGGAACGGGCTAGGCGCCATGCAGATCAACTGCACCATGATGTCGAGGCGAGGCTAGGAGGCTGTAGCAGATCGTGACAGGTGGACCGTGGGTCGTCGGGAAATATCTTGACACAAGAGCCCGCCAAGGGTGGCCATGTGTGAGCCCACTTCGCTCCGTGGCCCTGCCAGACCCATGCACTGCGCGATTCAAGCAAGCGCCGATCTCACTATGTCAACATTAGAGCAGCTCCCGGTCCCTGTCTGTGCGGCCGCCACCAGCGCACCCACTGCTTGTTTAAGGGATAAGCCCAAGAAGTCTCGAGGCGGGATCCTCTTCCAACATCTTGTCCCTCTCTCACTTACCACAGCCACCACCAGAGGCGTCCGCTCCTTTTCCAATTCAGCACCGACGATATGCGATCCGCCGCGGTTGCAACCATTCTCATGGGCGCAGCTGTTGCTGCTCCAAGCCCTGGTCTCCTGTCTAACCTCGGGGGAGTCGCTGGCGGCCTTTCAGGCGGTCTTACCAGCACACTCACCGGTACCTTGAAGAACACAGTCACGAAGATCGAGGGCCAGCTCAACGACGCAGGAGTCGCTGGATCTGCCCTTCTTGCTCAGCTGGGCGATATCAAACCGACTTCTACGCCCAAATCGATCAACGATGTTGTCGCCATTGTAAGACGGGTCGGCGGCGTCGACCCGACTGCTCTCCTGGAAAGCGCAGTCACGCTTGTGCTGAATGGCCTGGGACCAACCAATCTTGCAGGCGTGCTGGAACAATACTCAGACGGCGTCAACAGTGAGCATAACAATAACCCACGAGAGCCGCCCCATCCCATCTTTCCCCAAGCCTCGGGCGTATCCTCGAGCTCTGAAGATGCGCCTTATTCATTCGACGAAGCGCAGCTTCGGGGCGCTATCCACATTCCGGACACGTTCACGTACGGCAGGAAGCCACCTATCATCCTTGTGCCAGCAACTGGCACCAAGGGTGGTTTTACCTACCAGCCAAACGTGGCCAAGCTGCTGTCCAAGGAGGACTATGCCGATCCTGTGTGGTTGAACATTCCCGGGTGGTTGCTGGAAGATGTTCCCTCGAATGCTGTAAGCATCTGCCGGCTAGTCAGCTATAGGACACGCAACACTAACGACTTGCGCACCACAACAGGAGTACGTCGCGTATGCGATTAACTACATAGCCGGGGTCACCTCCAAGAACGTCTCCGTTGTTGCTCTCTCGCAGGGCAACCTCATCACCCAATGGGCATTCAGCTACTGGCCTTCCACTCGCCGCATTGTCACCGATTACATCGGAATCTCTCCGGACTATCACGGCACCGTCCAGTTCGAAGTCATGTGCCCGAAGCTCGGTCTTTTGTCATGCACGCCGTCGTGCAACCAGCAGAGATACGGTTCTGAGTTCATCAAGGCCTTCCGTCGCACAGGCGCGTCCGCTTTTGTGCCCACTACCACTATCTTCACCGCTACAGATGAGATTGTACAACCGCAGTCCGGCTCTGGTGCGTCCGGTTTCCTCCAAGACGAACGTGGCGTGGGTGTGCTTAACGTCGAGCTGCAGAGGGCCTGCCCGCTGGCCTCGCCTGCTCTCCTAAACGATCATATCAGCCCTCTGTGGGGCGCGCCGCTTCAAGCCCTGATTAAGGACGCCCTGACCCACGACGGTCCTGCAGACCTTGCACGGATCCCGAACTGGATTGCCGAGTGTTCCAAGCTTGCAGCCGATGGGCTGACGCTTCAAGACGTGGTCAACACTGCTTGTAAGTCTTTTAAGTCCTGAGCCCGCGTTGATAAGAAGCTGACTATAGTAAAGCCATCGGACCTATTGTAGTTGCTTCGTGGCTGTTGTATCCGCACCGGGTGTTTTCCGAGCCGGCGCTGCCCGTATATGCCTTATAGTGGCGCGGAATATATATATAACGTAATCCACAAGCAAGTGAGCCACATAAGTAAGTAAGTGTCACGATCCGGCCTGACTATCATTCGCGGGCGTAGTTAAGCTCGATAGAGGTCAAGTTTGGCGGGGGCAGGGGGCCGGTAGGGGGGGCGGGCACGGGCCATTGAGGTTAACTACGTTACCCTAATTAAGCTTAACTATTGTATAGGAAAACGGTCGGGGGTTAGCTTATAGGGTAGGCGTACGTAGGGCCCCCCGGCGTAGCCCCGGACGACGATAGACGATAGTATAGTATAAGGCTAGCGCTAGGAGAGGAGAGGAGAGTAGGAAGATAAAAAGGTTAGGAGAGAAGAACCGGCGTGGCTGAGGGCCTTATTAGTTCTCTTCTCTACGTAGCCCGGCCCGGGATTGAACCGGGGATTCCGTATAGCGAAGTTACTAGTAGCGTTATACCGCTTAACTACCGGGCTTTTCTATAGTATATAGAAGGCCGCCTACTTACTTAGATATATAGGACTAGGTTAGGGTTAGGGTTAGGGTTAGGGTTAGGGTTAGGGTCAGGGTTAGGGTTAGGGTTAGGGTTAGGGTTAGGGTTAGGGTTAGGGTTAGGGTTAGGGTTAGGGTTAGGGTTAGGGTTAGGGTTAGGGTTAGGGT